CCCATGCAAGGGAGACACCCACATAATTAGCAGAGTAACCAATCCATGCAATATACATTCAGTAAATTTCCTCCCTTCAGATAACCACATAACATAATTAAAAAGGAACAGTTTTTCCCCAAAGTTTAATGTACCCCAAATACTTGGGGTACAGATATACATTTGGTAACTGTCAGGAAACTGACAGGGATCCAATACGCAGAGTGCGCACAGAAGGAGGTACGTATACCGGACCTTAGAATGGCCGGACTAACGTAAGGACAAAGCAAGAATAGTCAAAAGGTAAGCCGAGGTCAAGGGAGCCGGAGGACAGGTAAGCGAGATACAAGCCAAGTCAAAGGAGAGGAGAGGACAACAGGACAAAAGACAAGCAAGGGTCAAAACCGGAAACACAAGATAACGAACGCGCTGAGTGACTAGCAAGCTAGAACCACGACAGGGCAATGAGCAGTAGTAAAGGTTTCCTTTAAATACCCTATTACCTAAATAGAGACCACGCCCCCAAAAGGTCCGGAATAGCGGTTCCCGGCACTTTATGTAAATGCCGACGTCATGACGTCGACGCTAGCCGTCGCGTCATAAAAGGGGGAGGAGCTAGCGCGGCCGGCGCGAAAACGGCCGAAATATGCCGAAATGCTAGGGGAAGGGAGCCCCTAAGCAGAGAGGATGTCCTCCCTGGATACATCACCAACAGGTACCCTGACAGTACCCCCCCTTCTAGAAACGCCCACCGGGCGGATGGGACCTGGCTTAGAAGGAAAACGAACGTGGAAGGCCCGAAGAAGGCGAGGAGCATGCACGTCTATACCAGGAACCCAAGACCTCTCTTCTGGACCATAACCTTTCCAGTCTATGAGGTATTGCAGCTTCCCCCTAGAAATACGAGAATCAAGGATGGACTTGATGATATATTCCTCCTGACCATCCACACGGACCGAGGATGGAGGAGTAGCCGAAGTCAAGGGATGCCAGAAGTCAGAATAAACGAGTCAGGAAGCCGGGGTCAATAATGCGAAGCGATGAAACAGGAACACTGGAACAAACAGGATCAAAGACTTGACACTGAGCACAGGGCGAGGCTGGGTTTATATACCCTGCTGATGACTGATCAGAGTCAGGTGAAAACACAGCCAAGTCAAGGTGCAGCCCCCAGAGTAGTAGCCATGTCAGGATCAACAGGACTGGAATCAGTCTTCACTGTAAATAGCTGCTGTGGCTCAGAGGTAGAAAGCAGGACCAGGACTGAGAAGATCCCCGGTTCAAGTCCCCTGTTGGGAACTCCAAGAGCGACCACGTCTTGCCGTCTGTCTATCAGGTGAGAACCGTGACAGTAAATAGCTGCTGTGGCTCAGAGGTAGAAAGCAGGACCAGGACTGAGAAGATCCCCGGTTCAAGTCCCCTGTTGGGAACTCCAAGAGCGACCACGTCTTGCCGTCTGTCTATCAGGTGAGAACCGTGACAGTATCCCCAGATAGCTTATAGTTCAGATACCAACATATGAAAAAATCAGCTCAATCGGTTCAGCCGTTCGGGAGATATAGGACTTAGAAGGTTTGACCGACTGCACAGGTACAGTAGCCGAAAACAGTTCCATGAATGCTGACCCTGCAGTCGGTCTAAGAACGTGGGTAAAAACTCCCAAACGGCCGGCCATCCGTATGCCATCCTGGGTTCGCTGAAATCCCCATCTGCTGTTAATCCTTTCTACCGAACGCCCGGTCGTTCGGTAGATTTGGTGATATTTTCCCGAATGTATGGAGGTCTCAGCGGTGTTCGCCTGTTTGAGTGTCCGATTTTAGTTCCAGACATTCATCGGCAAACACCGCTGTTCGGGAGTTAAAATGGCCGCGAACACGTGTAAGTCCCGAAATGGCGGCTGAGCTTACAATTCCCATAGCGTTCGTGCGGTTGATTCGAATGCAATGCCCATCAACCAGGGAGGTAAATTGGCCATAATTAACAGTCAGGGTGGCCTGTTAAGGCAGGTAAGCATTCGCATGGTGAATGCTTACAAAAATATCGAACTGCTGTATAATCCATTTGTCCTTTTGCAGGCATACTGGGCTTGTTGTTACAGTTAAGACAGATGTTGATGTGTTTGAGTGTAACGTAGGGGCGTATGTTTAGTAGTAAGGGTTGGCTATAGGAGCGCAAGATGAGTTCCTGATGTGAGGGATCTGAATGCGTAGTCTAAGACTGGGCCGAGTTTACGTTATAGGGGAGGCTGATTGAGGCCTTGCAGTAGCGAGTGCTATTAACGAGTAAGAACGTAAGTACCTGGTAGTGTAGCAGGGTACCAGGTTAGGTAGGTTGGGTAGTTTCTTGCCTGAAGGCAGTATGAACGTAGGCCTAAGTAGAAAAATGTAGAGAATTTAACACAACAAGGGCATAGGACCGTGAGCTAATCATAATAAATAGAGACTGCGTTAGGTCTTGTATGAAAGGTCCCGTGATGAGTAGAGAACTATACCTTGATTTGTTGTACAGGTACTTGGATGAGCGTAAGTGTTTTTTTATGGAGAAAACCGAAGGAGGACTAGAATAAATCTGAAGCTATGGATTGAACCCATTGAATATATAACAATTAGCGAAGGTTGTGACAGTATGTTTTAAATAACCAATTTATTCTGTGGCAAGTTTAGAGCGCACGCTGCTTGAGGCCTTGACATGGTTGAAACCAGGGCCGGACTGGCCCACCGGGATACCGGGAAATTTCCCGGTGGGCCGTGGCACCTGGGGGCCGGCCGCGTTCCTGGGCCGGCCCTTTAAATACTGCAGCCGCCCGAGCGCTCTGTTAAGAGCCTCAAGCGGCTGCAGCTTCTCCCC